GTGTTTTCTGGAAACAGTTTCCTGTTGTGGCTGAAAATAAGGATGATAAGAGCTGTGAAGCAAAACAGTGACAGAACTTATGGATGTATTTGTTAGGAGAGCTGGAAACAGCATCCATATTCAGTCTTGGTAAAAAATCCACCATGAAATGTTTATTCAGGTCAGAATCTGATCAAACACATGATTTATTTGATACAAACCTGGCCAGACTATGAGCGTCATTATAAGTTTTCCAGCACTTTCATTTCTCTTATATGAACTGTTGGCACGATTCATCATTTGAACTCACATCATGAAGCAGCTTCTCCAGATTCTCCTGCAGCTCGAAGAAGTAGACCGAGGTGATGAGACCCTCGCGGGCTTTGGCCAGACAGTCCCTGGACAGCTCGGCTATCTGGTGGTGGATGAAACTGAGAACTCCGTCGGCCAGCGGAAGAACATTTTCCGGCGAGAAAGCGTGGATGAACTCGGCCAGCCTCCCTTCCATCTGCGCCGTGGCCTGGTGCGGGACAAAGGGTGGACGACATGAGAGGACGGGACAGAAAAGGAGAAAATGGGGGAGAGCGAGGAGCAGAGCAAGAAATGACAGAGATTAGGTTTAGAAAAGGATTCAATTTCTTTGGAAGAGCCAGAGCTATGTGCCACAGAGAGCTCAGTGAGCTGTTTCATTTGTGATTCAGACAGTGTGGCTCTGCCGTTTTACACCGACTTCCAACACAATGTCTTTTTTTTTTCCCCCGGTGGACTCGTGTAGGAACAAACCCAAAGTGCTTTTACCTCAGATGAACTCCAAACTATAATACCCAACTTCCTATAGCTTGATTTTTATCACTGTTCAGCCCATTTCCTTTTAAAGCAAGCTCAGAGAGAGTGACAGAGAGAAAAACGAGGCTTTATTTAACAGTTCATAGCTGTGGCAGTATTGGTAAGTGCAGTGAATAAACTTAATATTCCCTCTGACATGCTGAACAGGGCTTGGCAGCGTCACATAATCGTGTTTGCTATGGTTTAGCAGCCCCCGTGGCTCCTCTTTTTCACTGTGTTTGGATGTATGATATGAAACAGTTGCATGCACAAATCTCAAAACGTGCTTAATCATAAATTATATCTCTTTATTTATGTAATTTTTGATCTCTGAATTGAAGGGATTAGTTATAGCTATTGAAAAATTGGAAATGCTGCAGGCTTAAGCTCAGGCTTACAGCTGAATGTACTTTCACAGAAGATGATGCTTATCATGGAGCAGCTCTGCATGTGTATTAGTGTGTGAGTGCATCTTACCTTTGGAAAGCGCTCTTTGTACACATGGTTCATCATGACGATCTCATTATCGTAGCAGGAGGAAGAGCGTCCTGGGCTGGAGGGTCAAAGAAGGAGAAAGATGTGGGTTTATTAAACTAAAACTGCAAGCAGCCATGTGTCCACTGTAGCGGTGACGTGTCTAAACTGTGGATCTGATTTGTTCTTGAACCAACAAAAACAGAAAATGTTCCTAAAATGTTGGGACGCTGTGAAAAAGGCAAACAAAACATATTAAATGTTGCACCTGAGAATGTTTTTTTGAGAAATATGTGCACATTTTGAATTTGATGCCAGCAGCCTGCTTCACAAAACATGTGACAAAGGCAACAAAAGACTGGGAAAGCTGTGTAATACTAAAAACAGCTGGTAGAACATCACATCTGTTTACTAGCAACATGTCCGTAGCATGATTAAAAAAGAGCATCCCAGAAAGTCTTTCAGAAATAAGATGGAGATGATTACATCGCCCTGTGAAAGACTATGTGGGCAAATATATTCATCCATCCATCATCTATACATCCCCTAATCCTCACTAGGGTCATGGGGGGCTGGAGTCTATCCCAGCTGACTCAGGGTGAAGGCAGGTTCACCTGGACAATATTATTTATTTATATATAGGGGCTGGAAGGTGGAGCAGGTTGTCTGTCTCTAAGTGTAGTCCTGTGATAGACTGGTTACCTGTCCAGGTGAACCTGCCTTCACCTTGAGTCAGCTGGGATAGACTCCAGCCCCCCATGACCCTAGCGAGGATTAAGGTGTAGAGATGATGGATGGATGGGTGTAATCAAGGTACAAGGGCCAAAAACAGTTTTGACTGGCTGTGATTGTGGGGTTTCTCAGAAAGCAAGATTTTGGACTCAAGGACATTTCTGAGAATCATCAAAGTTCACTACTGCCTCCACAAATATGAGTTAAAATTCCATCATGCAAACAAAACAACATGTTTAAACAAGCACCACAAACACGCAGCCTTCTCCGGGCCGGAGCTCGTTTAAGATCGACTTGATCGGCCTGATCAATCAGAACTTGAAAGTCT